AGCCGTGGCCGAGGAAGGGTTTGGGACAGCAGGACACGCCGAGCCTGAGCTGCTCCCGTGGGTCTTCTTCAAAGAGCTGTACACCTGTGAGTGGTGAAAATCACAGATTGTGGGGGTTTTATATCAAATCAATAAAAGGATGTTTTGCAGTATCAACACTTCCACATTGACACTTTAATGCCTGTATCGGTCTCCCCCATGAGCTGAGCTTATTATCCCAGAGTTTGGATGACAAAAGCAGCAGCTTTCACTAAGAAGCTCAACAAAACCTGGATCTTGTAAAGGACTGAGATCAGGCTGGGAAGTGAGAGAAATCAGGAAACCAACCTCAGGGAGGTGCTGAAAGCCCTGAATTCAGACAGTGAACCAGGATCTTCTGAACAAACCCAAGGAATCAGTGAACACGGCTGTTCCATGATCCTCCATGACTGTCAGACCAAGGGAGACTCACCCCAGTTTTAATTTGTTCAGTCCTAAAATACTGCAGGTTACCCTGGGAGTAACAAAGCTTCTAGCAGCAAGGAAAGGGAGATGGTCCTGGAAGTGTCCAAGGCCAGGTTGGAGCAACCTGGTCCATGGAAGATGCACTGGGAAGGGTTTTAAGGTCCCTTCCAACCCCAACCATTCCATGATTCCCTGACCCTGATTCCTCAGAAGAGCCCTGGCCCAGGAATTCTCTCCCACAAGGAAGCTCCCTGCTTTCCCTGAGCACTGACCTGCCCAGCAGGCTGCAGATCCGAGTTCCTGCAGCCAGAGGCAGCTGGGGGGACGGGCGTGCTCCTGCCTGGCTGCTCCGGGGGAGGATCCAGCATCCCAAACTCTGCAGCTTCCAGGCCCAGCAGCCTCTCCGTGTCCTGCCCCCCAGCCTGGGGAGCTGTGGCCTCCCCAGCCCCGCTGCTGTGCCGTGCAGAGGGGGCTGAGGGCAGGGCCCTGGGGAGCTGCCCCTTGCCCTGCCCTGCTTCCAGGGCCTCCTCCCTGCTGGCTCCCGTCTCCTCCTCGCTGGAGTCGCTCAGGACAATAATTCGGGAAGGTTTTTTCTTCTGGCCCGGGGCAGGAGCATTCCCTGCCAGCCTGGCCTGGTTCAGCCTCGTCCTGCGGCGGGTCAGGTACGGCTTCGTGCTGCTGCTGCTGCCCTCAGTGGTGAGCAGGTCAAAATTCACACACACTTCCTCCTCACTGCAGCCGCTCTGAGCCTCCTCCTCCTCATCCCCCACACAGAAACTGTCCTCAGCATAAGTCACATCTTGCTCGGGAATCTGGGGGGAAACAGAGGCAGGGAGTTTGGGAAAGCTGCTCCTCACCAGAACTGGCCTTGGCTTATCCAGCCCTCCCCACACACTAATACTGGGGCTGATGGGCTTCAACCCCACCCAGTGCCACCCCTGCCATGGCAGAGACATCCCCACTATCCCAGGGTGCCCCAAAGTCCAACCTGGCCTTGGGCACTGCCAGGGATCCAGGGGCAGCCACAGCTGCTCTGGCCATTCCAGCCCGGGCCTGCCCACCCTCCCAGGGAACAATTCCCAATTCCCAATCTCCCACCCATCCCTGCCCTCTGGCACTGGGAGCCATTCCCTGTGTCCTGTCCCTCCATCCCTTGTCCCCAGTCCCTCTCCAGCTCTCCTGGAGCCTCTCCAGGCCCTGCAAGGGGCTCTGAGGTTTTCTTGGATCCTTCCCTTCTCCTGGCTGAAGTTTTGTGTTGGAACTTGTAATTTACCAAAAAAGGCTGTAACTGCTCTTCAAAGCAGACCCTCGCTGTGG